AGAAGACGTTGTTGATTAAGAAGACAGACATGGATATTCAACATTTTTCATCTGGGATTTTTGTTGTTGATGGTATCCATGTAACATTTACACTTATGGCATAATCCTCAACCAATTTTCCAAATATTTGAAGCCTTCGTCGGATTAGCATTTCACATTGCTTCGCACATTTTACAGGTTTGTCACAAGTCAATTCAAAATTTCACCAACTGAATACACTATGAGAATCAGTTTTGATAGACACATCACTTGGGTTCCATTTCAATACCATACTGAGACCTTCAATACATGGATCCAATTCAACTACGTTGATATGCATTGCATCAGACTTTGGTCGAAGCCAAGTTGCATCTTCTACTTTTTTTTCACCTTGCATTATTACAACTCATTTTGTCAGCAAACTTGCATCACACCATACAGTTAGAGATGCATTTGGTTTGAAATTCCACACGCCATTTTCTGGATCGCACTTGATAACTTTATCTACGACTTCCTGCATCATTTCATTTATGCACTTATTCGTAATAGGTTCATCCCAACCTGCTTCTTTTGTACATCTCTTTATAAAACTGCATGCAATTCTCAACCATCCAGCAACTGGTAGATTAGCAACCAGATTACCACATAATGAGAATATCTCCCTATTGGTAAGCACACTTTTAATAATAAGAATTTTGCGTCCTCTATTTCAAAACATTTCCTTTGTAGATGGATTTACTGTTACTTCCAATACTAGTGCACGAATTGGATTTTTGCCATAATATTTAGGTGTTTTCGTGTAAAGATCCCATTTCTTTACATGTACCACCAGCTTCTTTTCATTTCCGTTGGTTGCTAAGGTGTCATCAATGTATCCTCTTGTTGATTTTGCAAGTGCAGAATTTTGTTGGAGAACATATCGTAGTATTGAGCTCATCATCGCAGGTGCTAGGTTCAAACCAAAACCCAAACGTGTAAGCGCATATCGTTGATCCTTGTAAGTTACAGTTTGGTAAGGCCAATGTTGTTTATGCACATGAATTTGTTGGTATGCTGTTTTTAGATCCACCACCAAGTCGTTGTTGTTTTTACTCTTGAGTCTCCAGTCCCTTATTTCATTGTTGATGACATCCGCATTCTTTGTAGAGGCTTTTACATAGGTGTTAAGTTCGCGATAATCAAGCACGGTCTTATCTTCTTTTTATTATCTTGAATGACGCACATCAACGGTAGTAATCCTTTAGCTTTTCCATAATTTTATCGCCATATTTGATAAGTATGCCTTCTATGATCCATTCATCAATTTTGTTGTCGAACGTCTCACGATGTTGGTTGGATACGTTGTACTGACTTGTTCTGTTTTTCATTTTAGGTTCCGTCACCACTCCTAACTTACAATCTATTTTTTGGCATCAAAATAAGATTTGCTTGTTCCAATTTCAATTGTCGCAACACAACGTGTCGATGATAATTTAATCAGAGAATTACAGAACTTCAATTTTCCAGTGCCAATATTCAGTTCATCACACGACTTTATTAAATCCATACATAATCATGTCGTACTTGTTTATTATTTTATCCACACATAACACCAATGCATCCACCAAGTACCCGTTTGTTAGGTGGTGTATTTTAGAAACAACTTCTTCACATCGAATTAATCCGCCCATTGTTGCAACATTCACTATATGAATTACTTTAAAGTCAGATGGTAGTAACTTCTTGGTGATGATTGATTGCGAGCAACCAGTATCCACAAGCGCTGTAGCATTTCTTCCGTTTATTATCAAGTCGATTGTAGGTAGTATTATTTTGGGACGAATTCTTGTAGAAATACCAATGCAAACTTGTCCCATTTAAGTTTCCCTGGTTTTGTCGACGTATGTAGCCGTCCTTTGCAACATGTTTATGCGAGCATTTCTTGCTTAAGGAGGAACACTCACGTGCAAAGTGATTCAATGATTGGCAGTTGAAGCATCGCATTTCTTTCTTTCTTCGTATATCATTTGACATTACAGTCCCAGTTGTTCGGTAACTCGCATTTACTTCTTTATTTACAGATAAACATGCCGCATCTAATCTAGTTTGTACAATCACGGATGCCGTCTTGACACAATCGTCAAAGCTCAACGCATCTTCTCCCAATTCCAATGATGAAATGATTACAAAGTTGGGCGTCTCTCTCTGAAGGCATGAATTTGCATTCTTGAGCTGCTCGGATCACTTGATGCGCAAACGTTTGTATCAATTCTTCATTGCCACGATAAGTTTTCCCAAATTCATACCGTGAGTTTAACAATGATTTTCTAATTTCCAACGTTTCCAGTTTCGTCACCAACTCTTCGTACAAAACGTCCTCAGTCAATTCAGGTGCTGTTAATTCTTCCATGGTCTTGTAAATCTTCGACGGCAGAGTAGGAAGTAAGTTTGCTACGTGTCGATCGGAAGTATTATTGTTTATTACGAAAAAAGAAGTCATTTGCTAAACAAATCGCTTTGGCTGTCCATCCTTCATATTGTGGAGATAATACACACATCCAGCTAGCTTGCCCAGTGGATACGGCAACGTCAATACGATGTCGAAAAGACGTCTTTTTAGGACGTCCAGAACTACTTATAATTGGCAACACCAGATGGCGTCTTTTTAGGACGTAATTAGGACGTCTTTTTAGGAAGGAATAAAGGCGTGTTTTTCAGATGTGAATTTAGGACGTTCAGTACTAGTTCTAAATAGAAACGCCAAATGACGTTTTTAAATAACCTAATTTAGCTGTCCTCATTTCGACGTCTATAATACAATGTACGTATCTTTATATGGCTTTAATCAAATGCAATAGCGTAACTAGGGGAGCATAACCCCGCAAGGCGGGAGTGGGGGGCCCGGAGCTTACAGGGCTCTACGGAGATTTACAAATTTTACTCATATGAATAATATGACTGGTAATAATAATATGAGTGTTACTAATTTCTGTTTTATCAAATACATTTTATAAATTTATAATTTTTCACGTATCCCTACGGGCATTTTTGAAAAAAAAATTGAGAAAAAATTTAAAGAGGGCTTCTTTATTTTTTTGGCGGAAGTGGGGCCCAAATTTATAGTTACGCGACTGATCAAACGTAAGGTTAAAATTTATGTTTTTCACTTAACTTTTAGATAATAAGTGAAAAATAAAAATTTGCGTAAACTTTTTAATAATATAATTGTGCTAAGTTTTATAAATTATAAATTTTGTAAATTTCTTCATCCACTTGTAATTTCCAAGAATCGACTGTTCGAACACTTGACGTCATTCACCTTCTTTTAGAGCAGATGTGGGCTTTAAATTATTGCCAACAGCATTTTAAAGTTCTTTTTTGCTGTAGGAATTAGGTAAACAGTCTTATACCTAAAAGAAATTGTATGTAAAAATAAAGGAGAAAGCTGTATAAATTACAGTCGAAGTTTCGACGCGAAACTATACAGAGTTTAAATTTAAACTAGTTGTGATAATTTAATATGAAAATATTGAAATAAATATTAAATAAAAATCACAGTCGAATTCTCGTTATAATAAATATAAGGACAAAACATTACATATATATATATATATATATATATATATATATATATATATATATATATATATATATATATATATATATATATATATATATATATATATATATATATATATATATATATATATATATATATATATATATATATATATATATATATATATATATATATATATATATATATATATATATATATATATATATATATATATATATATATATATAGGTACGTGGAAATATCCGTTTTACGGAACCGAATATTGTGCTAAAAAACTGTGCGACGCTTTATAGATTTTTTTTTTAGCTAACGTAGGGAAGAAGTGTTTAGTTGAAAAACCTTTTAGAATTTGATATCAATATAGATTATTTTTAGAAACTAGAATAGTTAAACTTTATTACTGTGAGGTTTATTATTTTACTAGATGGCTTTTTTATTGAGTTTTTTTAAGTCTAAAACTTTTTTGTACTTTGGGCATGAAATAAATGTCGAAGATATGCTCTTTTTTTTTCTATACTCTTCTTTTTTTTAAGTTTTTGATTTTTCTATGCACCTGGAAAATTTCATTGAAAAAAAAGTTGTAGCAGTGTGTCTATTTTTTGTCGCACTTTTGGTACCTAATTTTCATTTTGCTGAAGTGGTCGCGGGAGGCAGAGGGGTTAAATAAACATTGTTTATATTTGATTTTGATTAAATAAAATTTTCAGTTTTTTTTTGAGATTAAATAAAATGGAAAGTAAAAATATTGATAAAAGTTTTTAATATTGTTTCCTATTTATTAAAATTTAAAAAAAATTATTTGCCTTCAATGTAAAGTTATTAAATGAATTTTAATGTTTCCTTACTTAAAAGTTGAATTTTTGAAAAATGTAACTGACATATTAGTAATATTTTAACATATTTTATCTTACATTGTAAGTCTCTCCAATAACAATTGCAATATGCTACTACTTGTTGTATGCATCTTTTTCTAAAAAAGTCTAGGTAAAAACTAGATTTTTTTTTTTTTAATGATTAACTGTTAATCTTTCAACTGTAATAAATAATATAAATAAAATATGGTCATATATAACTAATATATGTTAGCAACCTTATTCAACTTTTATGTATAATATATATATATATATATATATATATATATATATATATATATATATATATATATATATATATATATATATATATATATATATATATATATATATATATATATGTATATATATATATATATTTATATATATATATATATATATATATATATACATATATATATATATATATATATATATATATATATATATATATATATATATATATATATATATATATATATATATATATATATATATATATATATATGTATATATATATATATATATATATATATATATATATATATATATATATATATATATATATATATATATATATATATATGTATAAATATATATATATATTTACTGATATATATCAGTTAGTTATTTTATACATTCAAAATTCATTAGTTTCTTTTAACTTAAGATCAATAGATTTCGTCTAGACAAATGTTTTTATTACTTTGTTAAAAAAAGTTTTTCATTTGTTTTTTAGATGATACTTTTGAGAGGTCAGTTTTTTTTTGCGATTTATTATTTTAGTATTTAGTCTTTTACTCTCAATATTCAATTATATATCTTTATTATGCTATGTTTTTTGTGCAGATTTTTGTGCATCCACAAAGTTTTTTTACAGTTGTTTATTTATATGTTCCTGATTGTTTCATGATTTTTATTGAATCATTGTTGTTTTTTTTCTATAGACAATTTAAAACAAACTATTAGTAAGTAAAGTTTGAAATATTTTAGTTATTTAGTCATTGAAACTTTTTTTTTTTTTTGTAATGTTAGTGTTATAGTTTAATCTTATAATGAAGTAAGTAGTTTAAAGTTGGCTTTTAGGTGAATTTAGAATTTTTTAATTCTTTATCAACACTTCATTAATTGGTAAGAGATTAATGTGTATTTTTATGTGTATGTATTGAGAAATATAATCTGATTTTGTGTATTATTTATATGTACTATATTATTGTATATTTAATATGCACTATATATGTATATTTGATATGTAATATTTACATGTACTATTTAATCTTTTGTGTCATTGTATTATTTAATTTTTAATATCCTTGTCATCTGTTGCAGCTGGTAAGGTTTCTATATTATTAATTTGAGAGATAAAGTTGTTAAATGCTCAGTTCATGTAGCGCGTACAAATAGAGTAAGCAATCGATTGCATCAGGCTAGAATTAGAGCCAATATTTCCCGAAGACAGGCATCCAAGCGCCAAAAAAATCGATGAAAAAGAAAAAAGTTAGAGAAAAAAAAATTAGAGCGTTAGCTATCCAAACTGAGTTATGATGAAATTATAGATTCATACAAAAATTGTCTAATGACCAACTTTATAATTTAGAAGATGTCATGTATAGAAGAATAGTAGGCAAAAAACTCATGAATGATATGATCCTAAACATCCAAGCCTGTTTTGTATAATGGCAGAGTAGAAAAAGTATTTAGTTGAAAAAATGACTTAGTTTGCACTATTTCTTACTGGAAAGATGATGAAACGTATATGGAGGCTGTTGACCATTGCATGAAAAAGATCCAGCTTGTTCCAGATGTTATTTCAGAAGACTTACAATTTTATTAATTTTATATTAAATTAATAAAACACAGTGAAAGTACAAGTTTGAAATTAAGGCTAAAAAAGTACTACAAATGAATTGCTGAAAAATACTACCAGTGTTGTGACTAGCCTAAAAGAAATTTATTATTGTACCAGTGTTGTGACTAGACTAAAAGAAATTTATTATTGTAATCATTCACTAAAAGCCAAGACAAAACTATATGAGATAAAAAATAAACAAACCATTATTATTTCTTTTTAATAACATTTTATTTGTTTTTTAGTTTGAAACAGCCAAAGCGCTATTTGAAATATTTAAAAATTATTAAAGGTTGGTTAATAAAATGGATATCAAAGCTGTAGAACATTCCATGAAAAAGTTTCAGCATGTTGCAAATATTGTTTCCAGAGAGTTGACTAGATATTATTTTGTTAAAACACTACAAAAATATATATTTGAAATTTATAGATTAAAAAACTGCAAGTGCTGTGACATGTTGAAAAAAAAAGTACTGCTAGTGGTGTGACTAGCTAAAAAAAAGTACTGCAAGTGCTGTGACTTGCTAAAAAAAGTGCTGCAAGTGTTTTGGCTTGCTAAAAATAGTACTGCAAGTGTTGTGACTTGTTAAACAAAAGTACTGCAAGTGTTTTAACTTGCTATATATTTTTGATAGACGGCTTTGGCTTACCTTCAGGTGGTGTCAATTGTTAAAAATGATTATAAAATAATTTCATTAGTATAATTTATCATTGTAGTCATTCACTAAAAGCCAAGAAAAAACTTTATGAAATAAAGCATCATTAAAATAATCAAACGTTATTTAGTGTTAATAACATTTTATTTGTTTTTTAGTTTGAAACAGCCTAACTTTTCGTTAACCAAACTAATATCAAGCACTATATGAAAGATTTATAAAGGTTGGTAAATACCTTGTTTTGATTACCTTTTTACCACTATTGACTGATAATAGAACTCTGTATGAGAATATTTTAACCAAAAATTCTCCAATTAATCAAAAATGCTTTTTTTTTTAAAAAATGATTAGTTGGGGGAAAGGGGGGACAGCCCCTCTCTTTTGAAAATGGATGCTACACTGATGTAACTTTTACCGGGTAAGATATATTTTTACTTCTTTGTTGTTGTTTTTTAGATAACCAATCAAATATTTCATAATTAAATTTTCATAATTAATTTTTTTGCGATATTAGGGTGTGTTAAAACATGGTCAACACATTTAACATGAGTTTTACACTTACCTTCAATGTTTGGTGATTGTCCAGTATTAATTTATAGAACCTTTTTTATACAGAAAAAAACTTTGTTTTAGGACTTTAGGAAACAGTAGTTGTGTCATTTTAATTTTTTTTTATTTTTTTTTTTTTTAGGTGGGGGGAGGGGGGGTTATTCGCCCCTCCCATACATCGATGTAAACAAGACTTAAATTCGTAATAGTACCACCACGTAAATTCTTGTAGAACATAATTTTATATTGTATACTAATTGAATTCATTTTAGTAAAGATAAAAATATTCATGAAAACAAGTCTTATTTGATATTAGGGCGTATCAAACCATCACTACCACACCCACCTCCAACGTTAACATACGCCTCTCATATACTCTGGTGGTTAAATATAATTTTATAACAATGTTTTTGTATATTTAAAATACTTATGTCTTGAAAAAAGACTTTTTTTGTGAAAAAAATGTTTAGTTTCATACGGGTAAGGTGGTGGTTTGGTGCCCCCTATGTCCATCCGATACACCCGGTGGTTAGAGTTTAACAAAAATTTGTAGCCCACTCTTACACCTATCTTTTGACACCAAGATATTTGTATTTCAATAAGAATTAATAAAGTTATGACAATTTAAGCGAAGAAAAACATAATTTTGACCACAGTTTCTTCAACAATTCCATATATCGAAAAATCGGTACTTAAACTGTCATAACTTTTGAACCGATTGTTCGTTTTTGATATTTTTTTCACCATTAAAATACTGTATTGGTCCTCTTTCTAATGATATATAACAGTAGAATATTTAAACGATTTGAAATTTTTACTCACGTACCTAATATATAGTTAGTTAGGGTAGATTAGGGTAATATGAGCACCTTGAGCAAAAATTGGAATATTTTCAAAAATAAATATGCTGGATCCAAAATTTTTGCAAATAAACAATTTTTAGGGATCTCTATTCATAATCTATTTAGATATTTGGGCACTTGACATTTTTTCTTAAAAACACAGAGGTTTTAAAAAAGTAGCAAAAGTGCTCGTATTACCCTGACCCCTTGGTAATATGAGCACTTTAAATTAGCTCAAAAAAAATAGCATTAATTAAATAAAAAAAGACCAACCTGCTTAATAGAACTAATTGTTGGAATATAAGGATTCGTGATTAACAAAACATATCATTAAAAGATCAAATTTTAAGCTACATTTTGTTGAAACAATACTACCCGAGAAAAAAAAACCCGCTAATACTACTAGGAATATGTTTAACTTCCTGCTAATCCTGTTAAGTTCCTGCTAATACGGCTAATCCTGGTAAGTTTTCGCTTAATACGGCTAAACCTATTAAGTTTCCCATTAGTGAAATGACGTTTATGAATTTCCTGCTAATCCTAGTAAGTTCCTACTAAGTACTTATCAGGATTAAACGAATTACTTAGTAAGTTCCTAGTAAGTTTTCAAAAATAAAACAAGTATAAAAAATCGTCTTTGTTATACGCCATCTTTTATTTATTCACACGGAAGACAAGTCAGCCATAAAACAGCTTTTTTAGATTCAATAGTTTTACTAATTAATATTTGTAATTCTTTAAAGAAAAAGCTCAAGAACATCTGGGGATGATTGCGTGGTTTGCAGTTTATTTGATGAATATTTGTTAATGTGTTATAATGTGGTTTTAAATGTTAATTTTAACTCGAGCATTTTCTGTTGTATCAATTCGAGTATTTTCTGATTCATAGTGATATATATGGTGATGTGTTTTTTAAATTATATTTTATTTTTTAATAAACATAAAATCATAAATCATAAACAATTATATTGTCACTCTTTCTTTTTACTATTTCTTTTTACTAAAAAGAGTAAGTGACTTATCTTTATTAATAAAGATTTGTCACTTTGTTTTAGTATAAAGAAAGACTTTTATTTTTAATTTCCTTAGAAATTTTATTTGTAGTTTTATTTAAAAAGTCAAATTTTTATGTCAAAAAACCACTCACTTCAAGCTTGACTAAAAGTTTTAGTCAGACTAAAAGGGAGTAAACCATTTGACATTAAAAATTGATCAATATTGAAATCACTCTCTCATAAAATATATATAAACATTTTTTACTGGTAAATATATTTTTATTGTTATCTCTTGTTAACAAGATTTAACATTTCTTTTTAACATGTTAAACAAACTATAAAATTATTGAATATTGTTATATTTTGTATTATAATTTTTATTTACTTAACATTAAGATTTTTGTTATAAATGCCATTATATAAATTAATTTAAAATTTCCATAATTTAATTTTATAATATTTTGATTAATTACTACTGTATATAGTTATATAATGCTAGTTACTCAAGTTTTTAGTAATATATATATATATATATATATATATATATATATATATATATATATATATATATATATATATATATATATATATATATATATATATATATATATATATATATATATATATATATATATATATATATATATATACATATACATATACATATATGTATATATATATTTATATACATATATGTATATATATATATACACACACGAGGCTTATGTAAATTTTTTTAATTTAACTTAGTTTCATATTTTCATACACTTTTATTTTGAAATTTTAGATTATAATAGCTTTGAAACAATGATAATGAAAGTTTTTTCATCGTTCTAAATTTATGGTAAGTTAAATATGCTTTTTTGTTATAAAATATATGTTATTATGTTGTTGAATTACATTAATATTTTTATAAATTACGTTATAGCTACAGTTATGGTCGTAAAAGATTAAGAAAAATCTTATGGGTGCAATTATTCCTCTGACACCTGCGAAATTACCAAAAGAACTGACCATCGCTGTTTATTGTATTTTTTTAAATGTTCTAGTTAAACAATCTATCACTTAATTATTTGTTATTTTTATTATTGTTTTATAAATAAGCGTCCTTATTGCTTAGCGACTAGTTAAGTTATATTATAAGGATTATATTTTCAAGAAGATTCTGTGTTTAAGTAAAAATTATTATTTTTATTTAAACTCGTATATTTCTTGAAAAATAAGCCTACTAATATATCTATGAAATCTTTAAAACTCAAATAATTAAATAAAACCCTAATAAACATATGAATTTAACTAAAAAAACTATTAACTAAAACTAGAAAGTAGTACTTAACCGAGAAAAAAAACCCTACTAATCCTGTTAAGTACCTACTAAGTTCCGAGTAAAAACCCTAGTAATACTACTAAGTTTCCTTCTAAAAACTTGCTAATCCAACTAAGTTTCCTACTAAAAACTTGCTAATCCTACTAAGTTTCCTACTAAAACTTGCTAATCCTACTAAGTTTCCTACTAAAACCTGCTAATCCTACTAAGTTCCTAGTAAGTACTCGGCGGGAACTTACTAAGTTTTAATAGGAAACTTATTAGGAACTTAACAGGATTAGCGGGTTTTTTTTTCTCGGGTACCATTTTTTTTTCCGCTAAAAAAAAAAAAAAAAAAAAATTAATACATTGCTTTTTCAATTTTGTTAACTCAAACCTTTGAACAATAAAAATTTTTTAGATTTAAGTTACAGAAAAATATTTAGTATTGTTAATATATTAAAATTTTTTACTATGTTTTGTTTTTATTCATGAAAGCAATTAAAAACCACTGCTATTTTAGGACTTTAAATAAGCAATTTCAATGAAAAGCAATGGGTAATTTGAGCATGCTCATATTACACAAAAATGGTATCTTTAAATAAAGTCAAAAATAAATGTTTCTATGCATTATTTTTCAAACAAAAATGAATTGGATTTTTAGCTAATATATTTTTCTTTATGAAAAAATTAGTTTCATTATTTTAGCACCAAAATGTCGCGCCACAGAATTATTCACGCGTGATCATTTTTTTTAACAAAGCAAAAAATTTAAAAGCGTTTTAATTAGATGATATCCGTTAATTACTGCGTATAAATTTACGCTAATTGTACTGATTCCTGTTATCATCACATAAAGTCGATTCGAAAAACATAAAGCAACTTTAACTTCACTGCTTACATCTAATAAATCTTTAAGTATGCTCATATTACCAAGGTGCTCATATTACCCTAATCTACCCTACAATTTTTGACATCGTAAAATTGATATATTAACAAAATGTGTATAATAATCGGAATTATTATAATAATTTCATCAATAAAGATAAGACATAAATATAAGTTTATGTATAATCTTTTTGTGGCCTGGATTTTTTGCTGGCCTTAAGGCATGTGCCTTATTTGCTTAAGGGTTAATCCGGCACTGTATAAGTTCATTTAATTACTTACTATTTTCAATTTTAAACGTTTTTTATATTTCATTTTCATTCTTTAATTAAGTAAGGTATTAAATGAGCCTATATATTAGTTGATTAAAAATTAAAAATATGTTATTATAGTTTATACATATATATATATATATATATATATATATATATATATATATATATATATATATATATATATATATATATATATATATATATATATATATATTATATATATATATATATATATATATATTATATATATATATATATATATATATATATATATATATATATATATATATATATATATATATATATATATATATATATTATTTATTTACACTTTTGCCGATAAAAAAAAATTTACAGTCGTAACTTATAAAAAAAATAATTACATGACCGGGGCTAGAAGAAGACAAATTTAGTCTTATCATTAAGCCCCAAAAAATGCGTCATTACTAGACAAAATATAGTTTAACAATAAAATATAGTTTCAATGTATATATCTCTGATTTATATTATAAAAGAAAATTTAAATATATCGCATATCGTTTAAAATTTAAAGTTTTTCAAAGAATAAGATTTAACAAATGTTTTGTAAAATAAAAGAAACAAAATTTAATAAAATATTAAAATGACAAAAATAACATTTAAGACTTGGTTTGAAAAATAAGAAGATATGATTTTATATAAAAACATTTTATTGGTAGAGCATTTTATAGTTTAACTTATTTAATTATATTTATAATACTTTTCATTGCCAATTAAGTAAAAGCAAATAAACAGTATAAAATAAAAGTAAAAGATTAATAAATAACGCAAAAATAAAAAATAAATTTCTCAAAAAGAAGATTATCATTTAAAATGATAAAATTATATGTACAATTGTTGATTAATTATGTATTAATAATCTAAAGTAATTAATTAATTAACTATTAATTATTGATTTCTAATATAAAGAAGTTTTATTAGAAAAAATTTAATTCATTTTCAATTAACAAA